TTCCCTACTGCAACCCAGATGGGTGTTGGCAACAACTCACCTTACCCTTTATTTATGTCATTTTCTCCTTGGCTCTGTGCTACACGTGTATTCAGGAACTTGGGGACAGAAGGAGTTGGTAGAAATAAAATATCAGCCCAAATCACTCAGAATTAGTGAATGAGATGACCTGGGAACTCCCCAGGATGCCTGGTGAGAACAAGTGTGTCTCTCTTCCCAATGCCGGGAGCTAAACACTGGTGGCCTGTCCAAGTTGGGTGGTTCTTCCCTGGAACTTGGTCAGCAAGAAGGGGATTGAGAACTATGGTCTACAGGCAGGGAAATTTGAGTTTCTCTGAGTTGTTCACACTGGTACCCAAGAGTCACTTTATTGTTCTGCTGCTGAGGAAATGTTTCCATTTGCCTAAAAGGGATGAAAACTTTCACATTCATCTTTCTCTTTGAAATTAGGAAAGAATAAACACATTTTTAGCTAAGTGATACTTAGAGATCAATCCCTGCTATGGATTGTGGGTTTGGGTTATCCTTTTCCATGGGGCTTAAAGAGCCCCTTCCATGGGGCTCTTAATTACTTAGGAGAAATTAATTTATATTAATAGCCTATGTAGCCAGTCTGGGCTGGCCACTGATATCATCATTACAGTTCACCTTGGCTTGAAGCAGAGAAACTTGGTCAACGGCGATCTAGACCCAAAAAGAGAGTTCACTATCATTTTCCCTCTTCCTATTAATAACAAACAAAATATTTCTCAACACAGAATCTGCCTTCTCTAGAGAGGTCCTTCCCTAAAAGATCTGCATGTCTTTTATTTTAAAGGGCTAGTTCCATGGAGTCCCTGAATTACTGAGTCCTTTTAGTATTTCTTGAAATCCCAATTTGATTTCTTCCAGTTCTGTCTGCTTCTGGCTCCAGAGCACTTACGTAATGCAACTAAGCTGCACATGTTATCTAATCCAAAGGGTGAGCTTGAACTCTCACCCAGGACGGTGTGCTCTGAATTTCAGCCATGTGAGCTCAGCTTGGAGCTGCCAAGGGTGAGCTGCCTGCCCGAACACTGCCACCTCCAATGCCCAGGCCAGTTTTCTTTGGAGTCCCCCCTCATTGGAGTAAAGAGAACCTGGCCATGTGGAGACGAGGGCTCTAGGGGAGCACAAAGGCCCAAGGGTCTCTCTGGTGAAAGAATGCACCCGCTGGCCCCAGTGAGCTTTTGCCCAGGGCCAGCACTGCTCCGCTGCTCTCTGTCCCTTCTTGGCTGTCCTCACAGGTGGTGCCCTAGCAGTGGCTACTCTTTCTCTGTCTGCCTGGAGGCTGGGGCTCCTGGGGGCCATCATGAGGCCTCCCTTCCTGGAGGAGCCCTGCAGGGCTTGACTGGGGAGGGGGGGAGTTGGAAGTAACAGCATTTCTAGAGGGCCAAAGGGGAGGCAGAAACCAGGCTGTCAGAGAGAGGAAGTTCAGTGAAAACAAACTAGAAGCAAAGAAAGGCAACTTGTAAATAGAAGCTAGAAGTAAAGTTCAGTTTTCTCGGACAGTGCTTCTGAACCTTTGATGTGCACAGGAGTCACCAGGGCTTCTTGCTAAAATGCGGATTCTGTTTCTGGAGGTCTGGGATGGAGCCTGAGATCCTGCATTTCAGCAAGCTTCTGGGTGATTCACAGCTGTTGATCCCCGGAGGAGCAAGGATTTGGTAGCAAAGGTGTTGGCCTACGAGTAGAGCTGTGCTGCTCTCTGATGGCTGAGTCCCTGGCAGCACAGCCTTGGTGCTCAGGGGGTAAGTCCTGGTTGAGAGGCAGTGGAGCCTGATGGTTAAGAATAAAGATGCCAAGCCACACTGTCTGGGTTTGAATTCTGGCCACCTGTTAAGTGAATGATGTTACGCAAATTACTTAATCTCTCTGTACCTCAGTTTTCCTCATCTGTAAAATGAGAATTAAATGAGGTGATGTATGTAAAACAAGTAGGATAGAACCTGGTTCATTGTCAATGCTCATTAAATGTTAGTTGTTGCTGTTACTGTTATTGTCCTTTGGTTGCTGAGTCCAGAGTTGTCCCTTCCGCTCACTGCCTCGGCTATAGACTTCTCTTGTCAAAGAAGAAAAGGGTTCTCATGAGGTTATCTGTACTACAGAGATGCTGCAAGGAATCTCTCCTTTTAATAAATGAGGTCTAGAAATAAAGTCTACAGAAGGCAGCTGGAACCTAGCTTTCATGTGCGTATGCCAGTCCTATTTGTACCTTCAAATCAAAGTCCTGGGCAGCAGGGTGGACTGTGAAGGCTGAGGCCCCCAAAGTGCATGGCAGGGACATTCCTGGGAGCCACAGGACCCTCTGTCCTGGGCTTGCAGAATCTAAGTCACCAGTTATCCCTAGGCATTCTGCCTGGCAGGGTCCAGGTTTCAAGTGGCACAGAGGCAGTTTACACTGGTCTCTCGTCTTTTCCTCCTGAGAAGAGGGTGAGGCCTGGGAGGAGGCCAAAGCAAGTGCAAGTGCGTCACTCTGTCTCAGCTTTCCTTTTCTGAGGGTGACAGTGTTTCAAAAACAGGAATTCGCAGAGGTGGAGCTTTGGCTTTGCATAAAGCAGCATTCAGCCTGTCAGTCTCCCATTGCAACCCCTTGGAGAGTCTCTGCCTGCTGGTGAGCTAGCCTGATGCCTCGGGCTGAGCCCAGGGCTCAGCTCGTGCTGGAATGTGGGTCTGTGGCATTCTCTGCCTGGCAGTGTCAGGTTGTCAACGTCAGAGGTGGCAGCAGGGACTGGTTCCAGTTGGCAGCCTGGGAACAGTCGCTGCTTCTGTAAGCCTCCCATAGTCAAGGGAACGTGATGTGCTGCATAGGAGCCACCGGGTTTCGTTGTGCTCAAAATAAAATCCGGTGATTCCCATCGTTGACAGGCCTGGGTGGGAGGCCCCAGCATAGATAGCAGGAGGTGTCCAGGAACGAGGCTCACCTGCCAGGGCTTCGTTCCTGAGGAAGAACAGAATGTCAGTGGATGACCTGGAGTCAGGTTTGTGTTTGCCACAAACACATGAGATCCTGCAGGAATCTCAGCCCCTGGAGCAGTGTTTGACGCGCCACTGAAAGGCTTAAGAAATGCGGCACAGAGAAGAAAACATGGTTTGAGTCTGACCGAGAGTCTGGGATAGTTTGTTATCCCAGCTTTGTCACTCAATAACTGTAATCTTTGGCAAGTTAATTCTCCTCACTGTATCTCATTTTCCTCGTCTATAAAACGAGGATAGTATTTTCCTTCAAAATGTGTTGAGAGAATTCAAAAGAAAACGCACTTAAAAAGCATAACAGGCATATAATAACATTGATAACATTAGTTGTCTCTGGAGAGGGGGATGGATTAAATTCCTTGGGGAAGCAGGAGGAGACTTTACTGTGTACCCTTTTGTAACTTGAATTTTGAACCACATGAAGAGTTAATCTGTTTAAAATGTCAATTTAAAGATAAAACACATATCATAAAATGTATTGGTGGAATTTCTCAGAAAGGTGATTATGCCTAACTAAACAGGTAATACATTTTTGTGGTCCTATAAAGTAAATAAATAAAACACTGAAGGCTCTCAGGCAGTGTTAATTTCCTTTCCCTTTCCCATGGCGATCCAGCTCGCAGGCTAGGTCTCTTAAGTTTCTGGAATCTCCCACACCTCAACTCCCACCCCCGAAAGCATGGGAGGATATCTTACAGAGAAGTGCCTCCTCCCTCTTGGGACAAAAACCTGGTGGCCAGAGCCCTGGAGAAGCCTGGAGAATGAGCTACCTGCCAAATGAAACCCTGGCAACTGGGGACTCAGCCCAGGCTGTGGGACCATGGGGCCGTGGCGGTAGACATCCGTGCAGCCCAAAGCATGAGTGCGGAAAGACAAGGGAGTCTGTTGGACCAGGGTAGGTGAGACTTTCCAGGGCTCTTGCAGTCTTGTTCCTCTGCTAATAGGACCTCAGGCCTCCATACCACGGTACTGCACTTGTTTTTCAGATGGCTTTCCCATCTGTTCTCCCTTTTGATTCTCACAGCCACCTAGTGGTGGGAAGATATTTACACCCAGGGCCTGAGGCCAAGAGGGAATAAGTGACTTGACTGTAATCACAGAGGAACAAGAGTAGGAGCAGCTCACACTTACCGCAGATTTCCTACATGCCAGGCTCTGTGCTAAATGTTCTTCGTGCATTGTTTGGCTTTCCTGACAATTCTGTGAGATAGGTACCAACACCAACTCCATATCACAGATTAGGGGGGGAAAAAGCTAAAGAGGTTAAGTAACTGCCTAAAGTCACACAGCTAGTAATGACAAAGGCAGGATTTCAGCGGAGGTGGCACTGATCGTCAGCCAGAACCCAGTAGAACCATGCTACTTGTTTGGATAAACAATGTACCAGCTTCTCCCTGCTTTGTTGGGCAAGAGTAACTCTTTGTTGTGTTACCACCAACAAGGGCTGTGTGGGTTCTGCAGGTTCCTACTTCAGTCTCTGGAAGATTTGGACACAAGTTTAAGGAAACTGAACTCCCGCCTGTTTGTAGTCCGGGGACAGCCGGCTGACGTGTTCCCAAGGCTGTTCAAGGTAAGTGTGCAAAGTCCAAGAGAAGATAGTGAGAGTCTGCTCCTAGGGTTTCCCCGCAGACTGAACGAGACAATATTCTGACTCAGGAAATGGAAATGGTCAGGGACGGTCTGACCCCTGCTGCTAGGGAAGTTGGGAGCAAATGCAGCCAGTCAGCTGCCAACAGAATGGAAACTGCGTTAAGGAAAAATTCTGTGAATCCAGTGTCTTGTTGGAAAGTTCCCATCTCAGTCCAGACATGGGATGTGGCAAGTTATTCCACCCCAGATGCCACTGGCTTCCTTAGATGTTTTCTTGGCTCAAGCCAGCAAGATTTATTAGGACTCTTCCTATGCCAGGAGTTTGAGGGTGAGGTTTCCTATTGAGCAATGGGCATTTCCCATCTTGCTTTGCTTTGCTTATTGGAAAAAAAAGTCAGCCTCTCTGAGGAAACATCCCTACTTCCTCTGTGAATGATTGATAAAATCTTCATTTAGGTACCATATAGGCCTCTGTTTGCTGTATCAGGTAGCCAGCCCACTTTTCCCCCCAACCCCTTTATAAAACACAGTTTTTAAGGCCCAAACAGAGACGAAAGTGCTCAGGGACAGAGGGCTCTATGACGTTCTCCCCTCATCCTCAGCGGCGCAGTTGTTTTTCTGCCTCTCTCCACCCCAACTTCCTTCCCTACTCTTCCTGGGGGAAAAGGCAAGAGCAAAGACTTAATGTCAAGGCCAGTAGCTTAGTCAACACTTCATCATTCACTTTACGTCCCCGCACAAATGCCACGGTGCTGATAATAGCCAGCATTCATTGAGGGCTGACTATGAGTCAAACACTGTTCTAGGTAAGTGCTTCACATACATTAATTCACGTACTCCTCACAGCGGCCCTCAGAGGTGGGCGCTGCTGTCCCTATTCTGCAGATGAGGAAACAGTATCTTGGGAAGCTAAGGGTGGTGGTCTAGGATTTGCGCCCAGGCTCCGACTCCAGGGCTGTGTTCTTAACCACCGCACCGTTAAACACATTTGCCTCTCTTCTCCCTCTGCATTGTCCCCTCTCTCCCAGCACCTCAGAGGCCAACCCACTAATAGCCCAGAGATACAGATAGATCATTCATTCACTATATGTTATTAAGCTTCTACTGTGTACTAGGCCCCATACTAGGTCCTAGGGTAATGAAGAATAAGCATGATTTCTGCTGTGAGCATTCACACTGTAATGGAGGAAACAGACAAGTAATGGGAAGCTTCATTGCCATATGATAACTGCTGTGATGGAAAACGGGCAAGGTTCAGGAGAATCATACTGAGGGAGAAGGCCTAGGAGGCTTCTTGGAGAAGGTGTCATCTAATAATATTTTTATTATTATTCACAGGGTTATGAGTCTTTAACAATGTAATCTATATGAACTGCTAAGCATGGTACTTGGCTCATAGTAAGTGCTCAATAAATGTTTAGTGCTGCTGTCCTTGAACAAGGGATAAGCAACCCTGCTCAGGACTCACATGCAGTAGGGCTGAGTCAGGACCAGGCTGGCCTGTGCACGGCCAGGACATTCGCCCCGGGGATTCAGAGTTTTAAGGGACCGTGACCAGAGACTTTGGTTGGAATGTGGTTTCCTCCTAGCTAGTTGCATGCTCTAGGGCTTTCTGTGGGTTTTCTGTACACCTTTTCACTGGGCCACTTTCTCCCAGCTTTGCTAGGAAATCTAGAAATTTCCACCAGACATGAATAAAGACTTGGAAAAGAATTCCCTTCTTTTTAAATATGTGACCCCTCTGGTCTGATTTCTCTGACCTCTGGGCTAAGGGCTGCTCCTCCTTTCCCAGCTCTCTGAGAGCTGGAGCCCATTAGCTGTGTTTCCTACTGGCCTCAGGAGTGTTGCTGTGGAAACCATCAACACACTTCACACAGCACAAGTCTGCCAAGAAAACTAGGCCGGAAGTTTTCAGGGCCCTGAGGAGCTCTGGGAAAGGCTTGCCAAGCAGGCGGAATATGGCGATCCTGTCCCCCGCCATCTTTACCAGTGAGTCAGTGCCTTTCTGGGATTGGAGGCTCTCCTGGGAGCATGTATTTATATCCTCCTGCTGCATTCTCCTACCACAAGGACACAGCAAGTGCACAGAGCTTCCCACCTCTCTCCTGATTCCACAGAGACCACTAGCCTCAGGCTCCACTGTTGTAGGCTGCTGGCCTCACCTCATAGGCCTGCCCTCCTCAAGCCTTGTGGATCTCAGATTGTTGGTTTTCCAGTTCAAGTCATTGTCCCTAGTTTGTTCTGCAGCCCATTCTGTCAGGACTCTAGACTTGCTCTGTACCCTCCCAGGAGAGAGCTGAGTGCCCAGCTTCTTTCTCCCCAAACAGTGTTGAGCATTACAGATTCTCTCCCCACAGGAATGGGGGGTGACCCGCTTGACCTTTGAATATGACTCTGAACCCTTTGGGAAAGAACGGGACGCAGCCATCATGAAGATGGCCAAGGAGGCTGGTGTGGAGGTGGTGACTGAGAACTCTCATACTCTCTATGACCTGGACAAGTAAGAGATGGGCCCCAGGGGTCAGGTTGCCAATTGTGGGAGTTGGTGATTTGGGCCCCTGCTGAGTGGACCTCGGGGAGATTCAGCTATAGGGCCCCCTGGCACATGAGGTATGGCATTTTCTAGAAGCTGGAAGAGAACAGGTCAGAGTTGGGGCCTCTAGAGCAGCTCAAAGAGCTTACCCGATTTGGGTGCAAAGAGGCTTATTAGGCCCAAGGGACAGAAGTAGTGAGGCTCCCCACTCAGGATCTTCATAGATCTGCCCCTAACACACTCCAGTCCCATCCACCCCACACACTCCCGCTTCTGTCCTGCTGCTCAGAAACTGCCCTCTGACCTCAGTGGGCCCTGTCTGTCGCCCCTCCCAGCAGATCTCTGTCCTCATAGACACAGCTTCTGTTCCTGAGATGCGTTCCCTGGGCTCTCCTGGCTATCTGGGTTTCCCAGCCATGCATTTAGATGTTGCTCCCAAGGCTCTAGAGATCCCGGCGGGGCCTCTGTGCTTTCAGAGGGGCTAGGAGGAAACCCTCTGCTCGCCTTCCCTACGAGAGCTGTCACCCTCCTGCTGCTGCTGCCACTGCTGCTAAGCCCTGCTCCCTGTCCTTTTCCCCACAACCAGTGGTGGGAGTCACACAGCTCTGCATGTGAGCTGGGCTCAGCTCAGGGAAGCGCTGGGTGTGGAGTTCCTCCTCCTGCCACGTGCAGGAGGAGCGGGGAGGTACTGCAGGGACAGCAGCCAACCTTCTGTCTCCACTAACGGAAGGGAGGAGCGAGGAGCTGAGATATAAACTCGCCCAGCAAGCCGCGCTTGCATAAGCTGCTTCTTGGCCAACAAGAGCCCCGGGAGTCTAGCTGCAGCCCATCCCAGTTCATCCTTATGGAAACAGCCTCAGTTCTCCTCTAAACTCTCCTATGTCTTTTCTTCCTATCAGTGCAGCTGTGTTTCCCTTGCTCGTGAAAAAATACTTCTGTAAATTGCAACAAAGAAACAGAAAACCCTTGAAGTATTAGTTGTTACTATTAACTCCAGGCCCAGCCTCCGACTTAGGGAGGACAGGCTGTTCTCCACCTCTCTGTTCTAGTAATTGGGGCCCAACAAGGGAATGATTTTCCAACCAAGGAGCACGTTTACGGCTCTTACCGAAGAACTTCCTCGAGGCTTACGCTGGGATAGGGAGGGAGGTCCACGGGACTCCCTGTAGCTTGGACAGGCAAACCAAGGACCAAGGCCAGTGGGGACTTTTCTGTGATTAGAGAGATATGGTCAGACTCTGTCTTTAGGCGGCTCCACATCGGCACCAGGGAACCTGGAATTGAGCCCCAGCTTTGGCCCTGACTTGCTCTAGGCACCTGCTCCGGCAATCTAGGCTTCATTTTCCCTCTCAGTAAAACGGAGATGTAGCCCCCCTCGTCCCCTCCTTTCCACTTAGGAGTGGGACCCATGAGCGGATGAGGAAAGCCACCCAACAAGCCTTCGAAGTCTGGGCTCTTTTCTGGGTGGGCAGGGACCTGAGATGAAGGGTCTTGTGAGTGACGTCTGGTGTGCTTTGGGATTCCCAGGATTATTGAGCTGAACGGGCAGAAGCCGCCCCTTACCTACAAGCGCTTTCAGGCCATCATCAGCCGCATGGAGCTGCCCAAGAAGCCCGTGGGCTCTGTGACCAGCCAGCAGATGGAGGGCTGCAGGGCCGAGATCCAGGAGAACCATGATGAGACCTATGGCGTGCCCTCCCTGGAGGAGCTGGGTGCGTACTTTCTGCCCCAAGCCTCTCATGCCAGCACCTCCTTTTTTGTAAAAAGATTTACCGTTTTTTCTTTTCTGTCAAAGTAATGCAGTTATTGTAGACACTTTAGAAAATACGGAGAAATGAAAATGGAAATAACCATCTCTGTTACCCACCACCCAGAGAAGACCAGCGTTAATTTTGCAGTAGTCCTTCTGCAGTCTTTTTTCTATTCGTATTTATATATGTAGTCTTCTGTTTCTAGTTCATGCCTCTATTTTTGTACTTTTCCCTCTCAGATATAGGCACAGCCTGGTGCTGGCATCAGTGGGCTTCTCAATGCCAACATAACTAGTGTTGTTTCTGATGAAAGGGGGTATGTCGGCCTCTCAGGTTACTGACTACACCCTCTCTCCCCTTCCCATTCCCCTTCCTCCCCACCATCCATTTTTTAAATATGAACAAAGTTAGCCTTTCTCACCTATAAACCAAAGCTGTAGTCAGCTAACCTGACAGTGCCATCTGTACAGGATTGTTATCACCTGTCCAGAATGAAGCTTGGGGGAGGCAAGAGAAAGGAGAGGAAAGGTCACAGTGGAAAGAGAACCAACATGACTTAGAAAACATGGACCCATTAAGGATTATCTCAGCCCCACTAGCACCAAAAACACAGTGGTTCAGTTCCCACAAAGCTCAAAGAGCAGACCAGCCTGGGAGGACTTGCTGAGCCGTCACTGAAATGGCCTGACCTCCAGTCCTGTGACCTGCTCCTCCCCATGTAGGATTCCCCACTGAAGGACTCGGCCCAGCTGTTTGGCAAGGAGGAGAGACGGAAGCTCTGGCCCGCCTGGATAAGCACCTGGAACGGAAGGTATGGCCCCGTTTCTGAGACACAGAACTTCAGATGCTGACACCCATGCCGCAGGGAAGATGGAGCCAGGTTCATGTCCCTTAGTGCCTCTTAGCTCAAGCTGGTTGAAGAATGAAAAGTCTTCCTTATGGCAATAACAACAATAGTAATAGCAGCTACCATTTAGTGAGTGCTTACCATGGGCTGGTCACTGGGCTGAGCATTTCTGGGTTTAGCACCTGCTTGCACTATATCCTTGCATCTTTCCAACAGCCCTACAAGGACAGTATTAAGCTCTCCACTTTACAGATTAGGAAATTAAGGCTTAGAGTGGTTAAGTAACTTGCCTGAGGTCACACAGTTAGTAAGTAGTAGAGTGAGACCTTGTTCTATGTGATTCTAAAACTTAGGCTAGGTTGCTTTTCTTTCATCTGTGTGTCCCCTTACTAAGAGGGTATCTGGTCAGTAAAGTCCATAAGATTAATGATTTTGTGTTTATGTGTCCCCCACCTTTTGCTGGGTCTCCTCCAAGGGTTTGATTTCCATTTGCTTGTCACAGAGAACAAATGACCCACCTCCCAGTAAAGTGGGAATTGGTAAGAGGAAGGAAAGAGGCCAAGGCCCCAGAGGCACCCCTCATAGTGTCACATGCCCCCACCTCCCTGGGACTAGAGAAGCAGAGGAGGTTCTCATGAACAGTCAGCTCCTGCCCCCGCTGCAGATGGTTTATAGACTGGGTCCCTAAAATCACAACTTGTTCTATTCCTGCTCAGATGGCTGGGCATTTGGCCCAGCATCCAGGTGATAACAATGCAAGAAGGAGACTAAGATAGCAGACTTAGAAAGAATGCTTTCCAGCCCTGGAGGTACCTCACCAGCAGTGAAGGCACACCATGGGCCTAGCCTCCCCAAGGCCCAGCAGCCTTGATGTCCCTATTTGGGTGTTACCATCAGACAGGGCTGAAAGCAAGCCCCAGCAATTTAAAAGGATAAGAACTGATGTCCAAGGGCGTGGGGGAACCAGCTGTCTTTGTCCACATCAGCTTTACCAAGAGATTCTTATGGTCAGTCTGAAGACAGAGGCTGGGCCAAGGAGGCAGAAAGGTGCAGATGATTTTGGAAAAGAGGCAGACAGCTTCCTCTGGTGGTGCTAAGCAGATTGAAAATAAGCTGCTGATGACCAGCCTTGCCACTGCTCAAGGAAAGCCTGCCTGAGAATGAAATAATACAGAGGAAAGCAGAGCTGAGATGGTGAATGCATTCCAAGTAGCACTAGCTGGACACCTAGATCCAGCTGTGCCTGAAGGCTACATCTTGGACTCTTGGTTATATGAGTTAAAAAAATCCCTTTTTCAAAGGCCACCCCAGAAATGGGGTGGCAGGAGTACAATGAGACTTAAAAGTGTAAAGAGCTAACCTATAGCTTGGGGATTATTATCCCCTTAAAAGCATTTCGTAGAGGAATGCCTTTTAAATCAACAAGTCAGGGACTTCTTTTCCAGACACTCCTGGAGGGCCTCTTTTGTAGTGGGGCCTTATGTCAGGGCCCTTCAGACTCAGTGGTAGCCCGAGGGAATACTGTATTTTACACATCAGGGAGAACAAAAGGTACCTGATGGGCAGGAGTTTAACCACTTCAGGAGGTTTATTTTAACTTCTTCAATTCTCCAAATCTGAAGCGAGCATTTTCTTATGTCAGAATGGTCTAGCTGCTAGAAAGACTGCCTAAAAAGACAGGCATAGTGTCTGTCTCCAGAAACATAGTCTATAGGAGATGATAGACTCGAAACAAGGAATTACAGTATGCTTAGGGTTAGGAAAGGAGCAGTTCAGAGGGTTATGGGAATGAAATAGCAAGAGGATTATATTAATCAGTTCTTGTTTGCAAGTTGGCCTTTGAAAAAGGGATTTTTTTAACTCGTATAACCAAGAGTCCAAGATGTAGCCTTCAGGCACAGCTGGATCTAGGTGTCCAGCTAGTGCTACTTGGAATGCATTCACCATCTCAGCTCTGCTTTCCTCTGTATTATTTCATTCTCAGGCAGGCTTTCCTTGAGCAGTGGCAAGGCTGGTCATCAGCAGCTTATTTTCAATCTGCTTAGCACCACCAGAGGAAGCTGTCTGCCTCTTTTCCAAAAGCTTCAGAAAAAGTCCCAAGGAGTGTTTTCATTGGTCTGGCTTGGGCCATGTGGCTGTCCCTGACTCTGTCACTATGGCCAGGGAAGGGGGCGCTTTCTCTGGCCACACTTGCATCTGGGAGTGAGTCCACTCCCAGAGTCAGAGGTGGCTTAGCTTTACTTTCCCACCTTGAACTGAGATTAGGGAAGGGATGGGTCACCACAAGAAAATTAGGTGCTGCTACCAAAAAGGGGGAGGCAAACAATATGATCTTTACTACTGGGTTACCCAGTAGTAGCTGAGGACAAGCATCTCTCCATAAAGGTGTCCCAATTATTAAATGAAAAAGGGATGATGGAATCTTGCAGCCCCTAGTGAGGGCACATGATGCATTAATGACCTCTAACACCAAGGAGAGTGACAGTCAGGCATGTACCCCCTGTAGTCTTGCCAAGGAGATCAGACCTGAGTCCAAGCCAGTCTCTGGTACCAGCCACCAATTTGCAGGCAGCACAGAGGACAGAGGGATGTGTTGAATTGCACCGTAAGTGCACAGGGAAATCTGGACTGTGGGAATTAGTACAAGTCAAATGGCTTGGATTCTTTGACAGAAAATATAAAAGGAAAAGAAGGAAATGGCAGGAAATGCATAGAGTAAAAGAAACTTAAATAACACATCGAAGTATAATGAGAACGTACTGTATAGTACAAGGAACTCTACTCAGTGCTCTGTGGTGACCTAAATGGGAAGGAAATCCAAAAAAGAGGGGACATATGTATACATATAGCTGATTCACCTTGCTGTACAGCAGAAACTAACACAACATTGTAAAGAAACTATACTCCAATAAAAATTAATAATTAAAAAAAACACTTCAAAGTCTTTTAACATGGCCAGGACTAAACTATAGTGCCTAGGGATGCACATTTGGGTGAAAAAAAGAAAAAAAACACTTAAAAATGTGAGGAATAACTGAAAAGATAAAGCCCTCCCTTCCAAATGTGCTTTGCAAAAACAGGAAAATGTAAACATTTTTATTTTATTTTTTTAATATATTTATTTTACTTATTTATTTTTGGCTGCGTTGGGTCTTTGTTGCTGCGTGCGGGCTTTCTCTAGTTGCAGCAAGCGGGGGCTACTAGCGGTGCGCGGGCTTCTCATTGCAGTGGCTTTTCTTGTTGCGGAGCACGGGCTCTAGGCGCACGGGCCTCAGTAGTTGTGGCACATGGGCTCAGTAGTTGTGGCTCGTGGGCTCTAGAGTGCAGGCTCAGTAGTTGTGGCACATGGGCTCAGTAGTTGTGGCTCGTGGGCTCTAGAGTGCAGGCTCAGTAGTTGTGATGCACAGGCTTAGTTGCTCCATGGCATGGGGGATCTTCCTGGACCAGGGCTCGAACCCGTGTCCCCTGCCTTGGCAGACGGATTCTTAATCACTGCGCCACCAGGGAAGTCCCAGGAAAGTGATTATTATAAAAGTTGGGCAAGTGGTCACTTACGGGGCAGGGAAGGGACCGTGACTGGGATGAGCACATAGATGGGCTTCTGGGGTGGCCGGCAAAGTACTGATTCTTGAACTTTGGTGATGGTTGCACAGGTGTTTGCCTTAGAATAATTTGTTCAGCGCACATCTGTGTGATTTCTGTATCTGTGTTTCACTTAAAATAAAAAGATTTTCAAAGAGAGGTGGGCCAAGGACATGAGCAGGTAAATATACCTCGCGTCTGTTAGAGGTACTTAACCAATACCTGAGGGATCACCTGCCGAGGAGGTGGCCTTTAGGTTGAGACTTGAAGGAAGAGTCAAAATTAACCAAGGAAAGGGGAGTGGAAAGGAAGGCAGCACTCCAGCCAAGGGAGCTGCATGTGTAAAGGCTAGTAAGAGCATGGTGCTTAAAGAAGAGTGGTGAGGAAGGAAGCTAGAAAGATGGGGCCACTGTGGGGTGCTTGTAAGCCATGTTTAGGATTTGGGACTCTAGCCTAAGAACACCAGGAAGCCCAGTGCATGTATTGTCCTCAGGCACAGGCATTTTAAAGAATCACTGTGCTCCCACTGTGGAGGGTGGATTAGGGGGGACAAGAATTGACGCAGAGAGGTCAGTTAGGAGGCTGTCACAGTTGTGTAGTATAGATACAATCTTAGCCTAAACCAGGTTGGTGGCAATAGGGAATGGAAAGAAAAGGACAGATTAGAGAAACACTTGGACAGTAGGATTGACAGGACCTGGTGAGCAGGGAGTCAAAGGTGACAGCCAGGCTTTTGGCTTGGGCAGCGAGGTGGATGACAGTGCAGTTTTTGAGATGGGGAATGCCAGTGGAAGGGTGGTTTAAAGAAAAGAGCCTGCTACCCTTGAGGTGCCTGAAAGGCAATCAAGTAGAGCTCTCTGGCAGGGAGTTGGGTGGAGTGACTTGGGAGTCTAGGTGAGCAGTCTGGGCCAGAGCTACAGACATGGTGATCGTCAGCAAAGAAATTGCCTCGGGAGCCGTGGGACTGGATGAACTCATGCAGGAACACAGTTGAGTAGAAGGGACCTAGGATAGAGCCCTGGGGTGCCAACACTTAAGGAGTTGGGAGGGGTGGTGGACCTGGTGAAACACCAAGAACAGCCAACCAGCTGATGGCAGCCAGGAGCCAACAGAATGGCGGGTGTGGAGACAGGGAGCAGTCAGCAGGGTGAAGTGCTGCGGGGGAGTCCAAAAATACAAGGACAGAAAACGCCCACCGGATCCGGTGCCATGGACATCTCAGAGACGCTGGTGGGAGTGGTGAAGGCAGAAGAGGAGGTGGGCATGAGGAAATGGAGAGGGGCTGGCTGCGAAGGGAGGAAAGAGGACCCAAGGGGAGAAGTCCGCAGGGTGACTAGCAGTTCTTTTTGTTTTGTTTTGTTTTGTTTTGTTTTGTTTGCAAGAAAACAAGATCATTTTCCCAATGTTCTTGGAGTGAACAGGGAAGAGAGGAAGAGATGGAATGTGCAAGAGAAGGAAGAGGGAGGGCTCCAGAGCTAGGTGGAGGCCTTAGCCTTGGGCAGGGTCACAAGAGGGACAGGGGGTAGATGGGGATGCAGGTGAGTTTGTAGATTTGGTGGCTAAAAGTTGAGGTGTTTCCTACCTGATGGCTTCCATTTCCTTATCATAAGGAAGGAAGGTCATCTGCTGAAGGGTGGTGGGAAAGTGTGGAATAGGAGGTCTAAAGAGGGTGTAAAGGACTTCCCTGGTGATCCAGTGGTTAAGACTCCACATTCCCACTGCAGGGGCTGTGGGTTTGATTCCTGATTGGGGAAGTTCCGCATGCCAAGCAGTGCGGCCAGAAAAAGAATAAAGAGGGCGTGAAGTTTGTGAAATAGTCATCACGAAGAGAAAGAGGGCATTAGGAGTCGAGAAAGAGAAAATGGTTATTAGAGGTAGTGGAAAAAGACTGGAATCTGGAGTCAGTCCCTCCAGCTCTGTCTCTTACCACCTCTGTAACCTCAGAAGAGTCACATAACACTTTGAGCTTCCTTTCCTCATTTTCGAAAGGAGGTAATGACAGATGCTGCCTCAGACGATTGTTAAGATCAAATGAGAGAACACAGGTGTCAGTGAGTTGTGGAGGTAAAGCACTCTGCCGGCAGCAACTGATGATAAAAACAAGACCAATGATACTGTATGACAAGTGGCCCCAGCAATGAATGACTCTGTGGGTTTCCAGGAATGGGTTTCTCGGCACTGTTGAACAGTGGGGAGAAGTGCTTGGGTAGCCACCATGTAGCAGCAGCCTCAGGGCCCCTGGGACAGAGCAGGGACTGAGGGAGGGATATCTTGCTCTGTAGTGTAGACACCCTTTTTCCTTTCTTCTGAAGAATCACAGACCCTTCAGTGCTTTCAGAAACTTTCATTTCCATCATTTTATTTCATCCCCAGGAGGCAGGAAATTTTGTTCTCATTTAACAAACAAGTAGCTGAGGGACTAAATAACATATGCTCATAGCACAAATTAAACAGAGTCAGGACAGGAACTTGGGCCTCACTGTGTGATTGGTGCTGGTTCCATCAGAAATCCTGCCAGCGTGAAGTAGGACGAGCACAGGGTCTCATCCTGGCTCTTTGGCTTTTCTGGCCTGCGACCTTAGGCAGATTCCTTAACTAGCTGGTGCCTTAGGGTTTTTCCTCTGACGCCTCCAGGTCTGTCCTTTCTTTGCCTTCTCTTTCTGCTGCAGGCCTGGGTTGCCAACTATGAGAGACCCCGCATGAATGCCAACTCCCTGCTGGCCAGCCCCACGGGCCTCAGCCCCTACCTGCGCTTCGGCTGCCTCTCCTGCCGCCTCTTCTACTACCGCCTGTGGGACCTGTACAAAAAGGTAAGGGCAGTGAGGGCGGCGGAGCCCGCCCCTGGTTGCACCCCAGAGGACACCAGGGCCTTCTGGGCCGGTCAGTTACCCCGAAGAGAGGCCTTCCCTCTGGCTCAAGTGTGCGTACTGTCCGGAGAAGGTGAGGATGAAGCCACATCCAAGAGGTGCCAGAGCCAAGCACAACCCAAACTGCTGATCTAAGCAAAATCCAGGTTCTCAAGTGGAGCAGAACAGGCAGAAAAGCCGACCTCAGGGTGTGACCCCAGAGGTGGCAGTTCTGCTGGGAGCAGGTGGATGGGGGCCACGCAGTCAGGGTGGGAGGCAGGGAGGCTGAGGCTGGTGCCAGTTCTAAGGTGAAGAGCACAGCAGCCCTCTATGGGGCTGTGTCCAGAGTATTTAAAGGGGAGCCTAGGAGCGGCAGTTGCCCATCAGTGATGAGGAAATGACCCGGAGGGCTGAATGCAGGGCTGGATACAGACAGTAGGTGGATACCCCTGTAGTAATGCACCCACCCCCAGGAGGAGAGAGGACATCCAGCTATTCAGATTCATCAGATTCATCCTTGCGTCTGCATTGTTTCACGTTGTTTCCTCATTCTTGCCAATATCTGGATTTTGTGGCGTGGCATGCGGTAACTTTGCCAGCTTGGTGGGTAATCTTGTGATTTTAGGAAGATTATTATTTGCTTGGCAGTCTGATGTCTTAATTCTTTCATGGCCCCAGATCCAGGCTGTTGGGCATAACTTATTTAACCAGAATCTAGACTGAGCACTTTTTACGTGTGCTGATGAGAAAACTTACTTTAGAAAGTGGAGCCCAACAGGAACTCTCGAGGGCAAGGATCATGACCAGTCTCTGGGAGTTTGGTTCCCAGTGCAGAGTCCGGCAGCGCTATCCCTTTCCACTGCCTGCGGCTCCACAGCCATCCTCAGGGCTCAGAGCAGTAGTGGGCACAGCCAGGGCCCAGGGTTCAGTCTGCAGCACACCCTGCCGCTTCTCCTGGGGCAGGGTCCCTCCACATATCTAGGGGCTTTGGAGCCACCAAGTTCATGGCAGCTCCAGATTCCCTTGTGGGGAAGTTCTGAGTGGCACGGCGCTGATAGCTGGGCAAGCGTTTGTATCCACGTGCTGTCCAACCCCACCAGGTGAAGCGGAGCAGCACACCCCCGCTCTCCCTGTTTGGGCAACTCCTGTGGCGAGAGTTCTTTTACACGGCGGCCACCAACAACCCCAGGTTTGACCGCATGGAGGGGAACCCCATCTGCATCCAGATCCCCTGGGATCGCAACCCCGAGGCCCTGGCCAAGTGGGCCGAGGGCAAGACAGGCTTCCCTTGGATTGACGCCATCATGACCCAGCTGAGGCAGGAGGGCTGGATCCACCATCTGGCCCGGCACGCTGTGGCCTGCTTCCTCACGCGCGGGGACCTCTGGGTCAGCTGGGAGAGCGGGGTCCGGGTGAGTCCTCTTTCAGCGGGCGGCCCCCTTTTGGGCTGGGGGATGGACTGGGACCCCTGGGTCCAGGAGATTCCCTCCAGATCCTACTTGGCTTGCCCTCAGCAGAAGGCCTTGGCTCCCTTCTCCACAGGGTGTGTGGTGACTTGGGGGGAACCATGGCCGTAGGTCCCCAAGGAGGCTGATTGTCCCACCCTCCCTGCATCTAGGTATTTGATGAGCTGCTCCTGGATGCAGATTTCAGCGTGAACGCAGGCAGCTGGATGTGGCTGTCCTGCAGTGCTTTCTTCCAACAGTTCTTCCACTGCTACTGCCCGGTGGGCTTTGGCCGCCGCACGGACCCCAGTGGAGACTACATCAGGTGAGGGTGCAGACCAGGCTCTCTGGTTTCTGACCACTTTGGATTCCTCCTAGGGTGAGATATGCTTGCCCTTTGAAGGAGACTCCAGCGTGCTGATGGGTCGTCTGGTGTATATGTTTTAGGCGATACCTGCCCAAATTGAAAGGGTTCCCCTCTCGATACATCTATGAGCCCTGGAATGCCCCAGAGTCAATTCAGAAGGCGGCCAAGTGCATCATTGGTGTGGACTACCCACGGCCCATCGTCAACCACGCCGAGACCAGCCGGCTCAACATTGAGCGGATGAAGCAGATTTACCAGCAGCTCTCCCGCTACCGGGGACTCTGTAAGGAGCCCCTACTCCGACTGCCATCCCCTAGTTCCCCGAAGGGAAGGACAACACCTACGGGCTCAGGGGGCGTAGACAGAGATTCCCAGATGTTTGCAAAGGGAGGCCACCGAGCACTGTCTTCCAGGCTGTTGACTTGACTTCCCGGGCACAGGCCACACAGGCTGGGCTGGATCAGGCCTCTCTGAATTAGTTGCAGCCAGTGGGAAGCGATGGAACCTTGATGTCATGGCCCAGCACCCCCTGCCTTATACCTACCTGCCCTGGGGCCCTGTACAGTCCTGTGAGATTGCATTCTGATTATTCCCCTACCTCTTTCCCAGGTCTGCTGGCGTCTGTCCCTTCCTGTATGGAAGACCTCAGCAATCCAGTGGCAGAGCCCAGCTCGAGCCAGGCTGGGGGCATGAGCAGTGCAGGTAAGTACAGCCAGCCTCCCGTGGCCTGTGCCCACCCCAAGGGCACTGCAGAGCTACTCCCACTTCAGTCACTGAGGGCTGAGGATGGAGGCCAGAACCAAGTTATGCCCCGATAGAACTTGTATTCCACCTGGGGAGACAGATGGTAAAGGAGCTGTGCAAGATCATGCCAGTTAACTAGTGCTTTGGGGGAAAATAAAATCAAGTGACCTGATAAAAGAGGGCTGGGGAAGGGGGTTACTTTAGATGGAGTACCAGGGCCCCATGCAGTGAGCAGAGCCAGCCTTCTAAGAACAGGGGGAAGAGCATTCCAGGCAAAGGGAAGAGCAAGAAAAGACCCAGAGATGGAAACAAGCTTACCCATTCCAGGAAGGAGAGGAGGGAGGCCAGTGGGGCTGGTGTGTTCTGAGTGAGGAGCTGGAACGAGAGGAGGACGGACACAGCAGGAGTAGCAGCGCGTAGACTCAGCGTCCATGAGGAGGATTAGGGTTCCGTCATCAGTGCAGGGAGAAGGCACTGACGGGGGTCAGCAGGGCAGAGGCGTGACCTGGTTTATGTTTTAGAAAGCTCACTCTGCCTGCTGTGTGGATGGCACAGTGTGAGCAAGAGCCCCCGAGTATAGGAGACTGGAAAGGAGGCGACTGTAGTTGTCCAGGCAGGTGGCGGGAGAGAGGAGTAGATGGCCTTGCTGCATTCTTAACCTCTGCCCTTCGGCTCCGGGACGAAGATCAGCGAGCTCAGGCCGGCAAGAACGTCAGGGCTTTTTCTAGTTTCTAGTTTGCCCAGCCAGGTTGGCTTCCCGGGTTAGGGCACTGCTCATTCTGGCTTCAGGAGGCCAGTTACGGAGGGAATGCCTCACCTTCAGCGCGAGGATGGCAGACAGGCCAAATCAGTCTCTGGCCTGGAGCCCATGGGATTTGGGGCCCAAAAGCTGGCTGTACTGCCAGCAGGCCTGGTTATGCTCTCCTTGGATATTTCCAGGCAGCGTCACTGCTGAAAGGAAGGCCAAGGGGCAGGTCTGAGAAGCAGCGTGCTGGTTGCATTGATGAGCAGGCTCCCTGCCCCCTAAAGAGCTGCTGCTACACTGTTGAGCGTCATCTTGGCTCCACACACAAGTCTGTGTGACACTTTGACCTGCTTCCCTACAGGCCCAAGACCACTACCCAGTGGCCCAGCGTCCCCCAAACGCAAGCTGGGAGCAGCAGAGGAGCCACCTGGTGAAGAACTCAGCAAACGGGCCAGGGTGGCAGCGTTGCCCCCCTCAGAGCTGCTGAGCAAGGATGTCTGAGAGTGAGTGACAGCAGCTGAGTCAGCTTCAGGGATGGGCGTGGGAGAGAGGTGGGGTGAGTGTGGAGAACTGCCTTGCCAGCTGAAGGTTAAAACCCACAAACTAGATTAAAACCTGGTAGGGACCGGGTGCTTTTCTAGGGTTTCAGCTCAAATTCTACCGTCCTGACTTCTATACCTTCTAATACTAAAAAGAGAATTTAAAGATAAAGCCTTGTTCTTTCTTTGCCAGCTAAGGGAAAAAAAATTTGACTCTTGCTACCTACCAAAGTGAGCCAAATCCAGAAAAAGAAAGCAGAGACCCGATTGAAGCTGTGGGAGAAAGAGTCCCGGGGCAGGGTCGAGGGGTGCTCCAGGCCCCTCTGCCATCGCCCCGACAGGCTGTGTCCTGTAGGCTGGCCAGCAGAGGGCAGCACTTACCTTCAGAATTCAGGCTTAGGGACGTTTTGGAGGCTCACTTAGCCCAGCCCCACCTGAGGGCCAGAAGACCCAGGCTCCCTATCGCCTGTGCCTCTTACAGCCAATCCTCCATTTGTGCCTTTCTTGTGGCTTCAGCTCTGCACTTCCCTGGCAGTGCTCATCTTCCTTGAAAGCCCCCTGAATGTATCAAAAAACAAAAACAAAAACCTGACTCTTCCTTCCCCAGAGCAAGAAGGGCCTTTTATGCCTTTCTGGGGGAGATATAAATTACTGTTCCCTTTCAGTCATCATCTGGGGCTGTTCCTTATGTGCCGTCTGCATCATTAGGTGATTCTCTCCACGGAGCCAATTCTTTTTTCTAAACCCTTCTACTTCAAGCCAGGTGAGGCCAACTGGTTTGCATGTCTAGACTTGAATGCCAGTGAGATGGCAGTGTTTGATGCCTGTGCCCTTTTCTTTACTAGGCTCTTCGTCTTAGACATTGCAGATGGACAGATTTGTTACCTTGTTCTGGGAGTACCGGCAACCTTAGGTACTGTTCTCTTAGTTACCTCTTAACTCTGTGGTACTAAGCATAGTTCATTCTGTCTTACAAACCTGGAACTTTCCAGGGTGATACTCTGACTTTCAGGTGAGAAGATTAAAGAACAGAGAGTTTAAATGTCTGGGTCATGGTTCCTCAGAGGTAATGGCATCCAATTCAGCTTGAAACTGTTGCCAGCAAGTGTGTGAGGAAGGGGAGCATAAGACATAGAAAATGTGATATGGGGCTTCCCTGGTGGCGCAGTGGTTGAGAGTCCGCCTGCCGATGCAGGGGGCGCGGGTTCGTGCCCCGGTCCGGGAGGATCCCGCGTGCCGCAGAGCGACTGGGCCCGTGAGCCATGACCACTGTGCCTGCGCGTCCGGAGCCTGTGCTCCACAACGGGAGAGGACGCAGCAGTGAGATGCCCACGTACCGCAAAAAAAAAAAAAGTGATACGATGCCCATTCACAAGGGTTTAATAGTCTGCTTAGAAAAACAAGACAAATAACCTGTAATTCCTAGACAAATGATACAGACTCTACCAGCTTATCATAAGACAGTTATTTGTGGGCCAGAGTGATCAGGGAGTACAACACAGAAGGTTACCCTAGGGGACCCAAAAGATGAATTGGATTTAGCCAGCAAGGAAAGCATTTCCGACAAGAAAAACAGCTTAATGATTACATGATCTTGTACAAATTACTTAACCGCTCTGAGACTCAGTTTCCTCACCAAAAATTAGGTTCTTGTTGCAAGGATTAAATGATGAAATGTATGTGTCAGGGATGTGTGGGGCTGCTAGTTGCAGAAAACCTGACTACTGTGTCTAAAACAAAGAGGGATTTGGTTTTCTTACTGAACAAAAGGCCCAGAGCTGGGTGCTGCTAGTTTTGGTTTGGTGGCTCAAGAGTGTCAGAGCCAGTTTTTCTGAGATTCTCTTGTTTCCTGGCCTCAAGGTGGCTGCCACAGCTTCAGCCATCAACTCCTTGTTCAAAGCAAGAAAGAGAAGGAAATGCAGAGACAGCTGCACTCATTCATACAATAAACATATGTCAAGTGATCGCGATTTGCCAGACACCGTTGTAGGCACTGGATATAGTTGTGAACAAGACTGACAAAGTCGTCCCTTCCCTCTTGGGTGCATCTTTGTGAGAGGAGACAGACAGTAAACAAATAGATACATCATATGTCAAGAAGCCATAAGTGGTATGAAGAAAAAATAAAGTCGAGTAAGAAGGTAGAAAGTTTGGGGCACAGTGGAGGTTGCAGTTTTATATTATGAGGGTTGTCAGGGGATGCCTCTCTTCCTTTTTCATCAAGAAAATAAAAGCTTTCCCAGGATACCCCTTCCCCAGCTTTTCACATTGGCCTCATGAGCCAGAACTGAGTCACAAAGCCTCCCCAAAGCTGGGAAATAGGGATCTGGATTGTCAGGATTGGTTAGACCATTGCTTTCCAACCTGAGTGAGCAGTGGAATTCCCTAGAGGATTTGTTAAGCCTCAGATGGCTGGGCCTCACCCCCAGAGGTTCGGATCCGGTGGGTCTGGGGTGGAACCTGAGAATTTGCATTTCTAACAAGTTCGAAGCAGTTTGATGATGCTGCTGTTCTGTGACTGTACTTTGAGCATCACTGACTTAGACCATTCCTGACCCATTGTCTGGGCCACGTCCATGACCCACTGAACAAAATCCAGATTCTGTTAGCTAGGAAGTGTAGATACTGGTCGATAACTCTCTACGTCATATACAGGGCACTTAGCCCAGTGCCTGCCTTATAAGTTCATAAATAAAATGGTAGGTATTATTATTATTATGGATATTGTTATTATTTCTTTAGAAGAACATAAGGTTACAGTTGGGTCTGATCATGGAGGCTCTTTAATGTCAGGCAGATGGAGTCCTTGGTGTACTCTCTGGGAACTAAGGAGCATTTTGGAACAGGAGAGTGAATGATCAAATTGGCATTTTTGGAAGATTAACCAGGCATTGGGCTGGGACCTAAGAAGAAATGGTGGGAGGAGAGAGCCAGCTGAGAGTCTGTGGTGGTGATTCCAAGTGGGCATTACAAGGGTGCAGAGGTCAGCACTGGTCTCTTGCCTTGTAGTCCAGAAGATACCCATCAGCCTGTTGGGATCTTAAGGACTGATTCTCAAGGTTTAGCCCTTAATCATGGCTGATTGATTGGAAGTGAGGACCAGGAGGTCAGAGGACGGGACAGATACTCATGTTCTTTGGAAACCCTGAGAGAAAAGAGTTTCTTAGTGAACCTTGTGCTTCGCTGTGTACTGATGGTAGCACCTGGGCCTAAAGATGTTGAGCATCCTCATCAGTAAAACAGTGATAATAGCATCTTGTCACCTGCCCTACCCATCGAGCATACACATTGGGGAAAGAAAATGAAAAACCATATGCGAAAAGCCTTTGAATAAGTAAAATGCACCACGCAGGTGAAATCACATTACCACCTTTGCATATGCTTCTCAGGGTGTCTTTGACCGTGTTACTGTTACTTCGGTCAGGGCCAGCACGCTGAGCTGGATGGACCACAGAGCAGTGGCCACAGGGCCTGTGTTGATACAGTCGTATTGATCCTTCCCCCTCTCCTATCTGCCAGTTTTAGTTCTGTGACTTAGGGCAGGATTCATAACCTTTCTGAGATGCTTTAGCTATAAGGTGTGAATAATCATTCTTTACCAGCCTGAAGGCTCCATCATGGACCTTTTGAGGCCATGTTTAGATCCAGCCTCTATAGTTTTGTGATTCTGTTATTTCTAATGCCTCAGGCCTGCGCCAGACAATGATGTAAACTGATCTTGTCGGAAAACATACCCTGATATCCGTCGGTTCTGTGTTTACCTCAGACCCACATCAGTATCTGTTCTGTATTTGGTTATTGTACAATGTTCACTAAACTGAAAAATAAGCCAGCGCCAAATAGCTCTCATTTCAGCTGCTTCCCCGTAATCCCCAAAGCTGCTGACTGCTCAGGATTCCATCAGGCTCGAATTGTGTACAGATTTTTCTTATTGGTCTAATTATTTTAACAGTTCACGTGATCCATTTGTCCTTCTGCTGGTACATGGTGATCTGTTGAGAGAAGCCTGTTGGATATAAAAGGTTCATGGCAAGAATCACCTCTTCCCCTCCTCCGCCAAAGTTCACCCAAGCTTGGTTAGCCCTGGGGCTTCGCTGAGGAAAACCCGATTTCTGGAATCTCTTCATTGTCTTTTTGACATTTGTTCCGTGTGTATCCTTCCTTACGTGAAATAATGTGTGTGAAAGGCACTGGGCGATCTGCAAAATGCTGCCCAGTGGAAGCGGAGGTCATGTGGTGGTCAGAAACCCCATCGTGCTGCTCGCCGCCCAGGGGCCTTCGCACAGGTTTTTCTCACCTCTGTCTCTCAGTTCCTGAAACAAGAAGTTAGTTGGGACTTGGTGTCCCCTCACACTTTCCCTGGCACTTACTAAGAAGCTGTCGACTAATGGACGTCCCCTCCCCTTTGCCATGTGATTTCTGTGGTGCAGGAAGGGCAAGCGTGTAGTTGACATGAGGAATGAGACTGAGCTAAGAGCCCAGCTTTGTACCCCATCCAGGCCCAGCTGCATCTCTGGCCTTCCCTGCTCCTAACTGGGAGCTGGCAGCAAACCCTCTGCCCCTCTCGAGCTCTTGGGCACTGTGACTCACCCCGTGTGGTGGGGAGGGGTGACCTCTGAGACCTCGTTACAGGCTCCAAACAAAGTTTCTTCCCGACCTTGAGCTGTCGTGTCTCCTCTGCTGACACACGCTCATGCGTGCACGGTATCCACACAGCCCTCCTGGGCTGGGAGCTGGGGAAGGGTGGACTTGCAGATTTGGGTTTCTTGTTAACATCCAGTGGGTGGGAAGGGGTGTGAGGGCACAGGTACCCAGGGGGGCCGTCCTAACTGACATCAGCACACTGAGGGAGGCGCTCGTTAACTTTTTCTATGTCCCAGCCACTTCTGCTTCTTGTATTAATGACAGGTTGAAAGAGTTGGACGATCGTGAGATTGACTTTTTTTTTAGTGCATGTTTTATGAGTTGATTTTTCCCTAGTGCCTCTCCCCTAGCTGTTCTTCCCTTTCTTTTAGTGCTGCTGTCATCATTTTCCTGCAAGGCCTCATCTGATTTCCCCAGCCCCCTTTTTCTGCAGACTTATGCCCTAGCTTGAGAACAAGAGCACAGGGACCATCTAATTATCTGCTGATGGAGCAACTTGCGTAACTAGTTGAACAGGCCTCTGACTAGCTTTGTAGACAAGGGTAAGCTGGTTCTTCCAAATCTTGGTTTTCTGTTTGGGTTTTGTTTTTGTTTTTTGTTTTGGGTTTTTTTTTTTTTGCAGTACGCGGGCCTCTCACTGTTGTGGCCTCTCCCGTTGCGGAGCACAGGCTCCGGATGCACAGGCTCGGCGGCCATGGCTCACGGGCCCAGCCGCTCTGCGGCATGCGGGATCTTCCTGGACCGGGGCACGAACCTGTGTCCCCTGCATCGGCAGGCGGATTCTCAACCACTGCGCCACCAGGGAAGCCCCCTGTTTGGGTTTTTGAACCCATCATAGAGGGTTGTGGGTCACTGGGGCTTATCTGAGGCCAGGACACTGCCACCTCCCTTCATGAGTCTGCCCCATACCTAGACCACACCCAAGTCAGCGTAGGTCTGAATGAATTGTTGTTATTATTATAGCCACCTGACTGCATCTTACCCCCATATCTTCTAAGCTTAGGCATCAGTTCTTAAACCCTCTTTGGGTTACCCATGCTTTGAAGAGTCTGATGAAGGATGGAGCCTCTTCCCAGAAAATTGCACCTATTTGCACACACAGAGAAATGTACACATTTCTCTTCCTGGTCTTCGTGGACTGCCCCTTAAGCCTATCCTTGGACCCCTTAAGGATCCAGGAACCCCCAGAGTAAGAGCCCTTGTTCTAAGGAATCTTAAAGCACTCTTTATCTTCCCCCGATCCCTGAAGGTGGAGAAAACACAAGAAATGGAGGTAGTAGGTAGGAGGACCTGTTGTGTATACTCTTCAAGTCCGAAATTTTCAGTTTCAGAAGAATAGTCATCTCTTTGGCTTGATAATATGGGCCAGAGAGAGATCTATGTATAAAATATATATCACAATCAGCATGTTTCAATAAACATATGTACACTTTATATTTAACAAATATATTTATTCGTAGTGAAAAAATATGGCTAGGTTATTATAGTACAAGCTTAAAGGGAAAATTGTTGAAAATATTTTAAAGAGGCGCTCAGTACTGACCCCTACAGGTACCCACCCACTCCTACGTTTGCTCTTGATTTTTCCCAGCTTCTAGATAAATTATCATCATCCAGTTAAAATCTTCAGATGTAACATTTGTCTGAAAAGGGTCGCATGTGTCAGAAGACTGATTTTGAATCCCTGACTCCAATGTCTTGGACTCTTGAGAGCATTTCCCCTTTTCTGTTAATGTCTGAACTTCCATTTATGTTGCTTGGATATTAGTCTTCATGCCATCATGTTGATTTTTTTTTATATCCTCTAAAAGTCTTAATGAGCAATACTATAATATAGAGATTACTTAGTGGTAAAAATACAGGGTTTGGAATCAGACAGACCTCGGTTTCCTGTCTTGGCTCCGCCACTTCTGAATGCTCTAGTCTTGGGCAATTTACTCACCCTCTCTGGCTTCCGTTTTCTCATCTGTAAAACTGGAAGCCATATCTTCAGGGTTCATGGGATCGCAAGCTGTATTAGTTTGCTTGGGTTCCCACAACGAAGTGCCACAGACTGGGTGACTTAAACAACAGAAATTTATTCTCTCACAGTTCTGGAGGCTAGAAGTCTGAGATCAAGTTGACCGCAGGGTTGGTTTCTTCTGAGGCCTCTCTCCTTGGCCTGTAGATTGCTGCCATCTCCCTTTGTCTTCACATGGTCTCACCTCTGTGCGTGTCTGTGTCCTAATCTTTTCTTATAAGGACACCAGTCATTTGGGATCAGGGCCCACCCTAAGCACTTTATTTTAACTTAATTACCTCTTTAAAGACCTTCTCTCCAAAAACAGTCACATTCTGAGGGGGTTAGGACTTCAGTGTATGAATTTGGGGGGACACAGTTCAGCCATAACACAAGTGTATAGTGCCTGGCCCATAGTAGGCTCAGTAAGCCTTCTTGTTATTATCTGTCTGACCATCATTTAAAAGGTACAAACTTTTAACGGAGCCCTGCATGTCTCTTTACTCTCTCAGACACACTAGACCTATTTCAACAGGCAACCCAGCATTATGATGGGCTTACCCTGTCCTCTATTATCAGACATGAGGCCTTTTCTTCCCTTTGCCCCAGATTCAGGATGTTATAAATCTTTAAAATGAGTCATCCTTGCGTCTCCTCTCCCCGCCCCTCAGTCTTCTAGCACAGTGCCAGGGTTCTCTTATCTCTGTGTGGAAATTTGCTCACCGGCTGATTGTGAACTCAGGCATTGCCTTCATCTTCAAGATGACTGGTCCCATCTGGCTTCTCTTCCAGCCATTTTTATCTGATTCTCCATCTCTGGCAGCGGCCGCTGTGCCTTGATTCAGAAACTGCCCTTGTCATATCTGAGCAGGTGTTACCCAAGGCCTCAGGTGACTGTCCGCCTTCTCCCCCTCCTCTGCTGCTCTCAGGCAAGGGGCAGAGGAGGCCCAGAGGGTCCGCGGGGGACAGCTTGTCCACGTCAGCACCCCAGAGGGCCAGTGTTCAGGCACCCGCTGGCATCCCAGCAACAACCTTGTCCCCAGGTACCGTGGCCCGTTCGGTTTGCTCTGGGCTCTTCCCGGTTCCCCAGAGAAGCAGCTGGAGGAGCCATGTCCCTGGGCAACTGAGAGCCTCCTGAACGCTCCCTTTTGCCCTTGTTTCTCTCTTTCAGCTGCAGTGCCGTGACTCTGTGAGCAAAGCCTGGGTGCCTGAGCAGCCACCGTGGCAGCAGAGTACAACCTGCAGAACAGCTGATCATCTCCAGAGATGGAGCAAGCGTGTGCATGTGTGTGCGCGTGTGCCGAGGAAGGAGTGGCCCGCCTGTTTGCGTGTGCATGCGTCTGTTTACACTCTTGTGGTTCCGAACACTGCCTGGGCTGGAGGAGTACCTGTAGCCGCTTACTTCAGCCTCTGGACACCAGGCTAGAGGTCATGGCAGTGACTTTCACCCCAGACCTGTCCCTGTGAGCCAGCTGCCTTGTCTGAATAGAAGCGTGGTGGGACCTTAGCTGGGATCCTGGCATCTGCCTCCCCAACCCTCCCTCCCTCCCTCCCTCCTCACGTCAGACTGCCGAGCAGGGGAAGCATTTCTGGCTCTTGTCCGGAGTGTGGGATTCTAGCGGCGGCTAGGGTTCTGCTGAGTTCCTGGGCAGGCTGGAGGGGACGGGTGTGTCCAGACATAGTCACCTGGCCTGGCTTCTTATTTTAAAATTCCCTGCCACTGGGTTCTCCGGACTCTTCCTTGCGAAGCTGGGACTGAGCACACGGCTGTAGACAGATCTGGAAGACTTGCATCATCGTGCAGAAGTACAGCAGGCGCCTGACTGGAGTGCTGCTCGCACAGTATCATAGATGACAGCTGAGAAGAACATCTCCCTCTTCGGGGCTGAAAACCTGAGGTTAGAAGTAGAAGGCCGGCTCTCACTACTGTTCCCCAGAAGCTGAGAGCCGGCCCCAAAGCTGACTGGAGACTCAAGTGCCTCCACCGGGAGGAGGCCAGGTTCCTGGTGGTAGAAAGCCCCCTGGCGCCTCTCGCCACACTCCATGGCATCTCGGTGCTGCCACCAAGCTCAGCTGACACCAGCCAGGGAAGCCATTCTAGTCTGCGCTTTGAAGGATTCCACAGCCTGCCCAGGGCTGGTCAGCAACCAAGCTGCCACACCAGCTCTCCCAGTAGCTGGACATCAAAGACCCAGGCAGGTGGACTGCCGGGGACAGTTGGGAAAGACCCAAGCCGAGATCCCACCCAGCGCACCAAGCCTTCCGGAAGCAGCAGGTGGGAGGTTTGACCCAGAGAAGCCAAGGCCTTGCATTCTAGGGGCAGCCTGTGCCTCCCACCTCAGCCTCCCATGGTCGGGGCTATGCTGAGAAAGACACCATGAAAAGGAGGGCTGTGCGGTCAGCTGGGGCAAGTCTTCCTTCCACCCATGGCCTGCACTTGAGCCACAGCGTGTGTGTGTGTGCGTGCGCGTGCGTGCTGTGTGTGTGTGTGTGTGTGTGTGTAGCTGAGAGGCCAGTTCCTCTTGGGATCGTTGTCCTCACACATAACATTAAGCTGGCCTCTGGGCCTTCTCCTCTCTACCTCCCCTGTGACCTTCGCCAGCCTCAGAGCTGTTCATTCCCTTGGCCCCAGCCCTGCCCTTCACTGTCCTCTGTCCTGGGACCAGAACCCTGGGTCAAGCCCCTGCCTCCTACATCTGTCCAGCACATCGACAGGCTTCTTCCTGAGACGTCCTCAGGCTTTCTCAGCCAAAGAGCTGCCTTTAGAGTCCAACTGTTGTATGTATGTCACCCTCACTAGAAATGTCCCATAATCGTGGGGAGAACAGGGCACCGGTGATGGCTTTTTCTGCAGCATTGGGTTGGGGGCTTCACTGTTCCCTTAGCCCCAGCCAAGAGGAAAGAATTGGGGGCTATTGCCAGAAGGAGAGTAGAGCAAGCCTGGAAGGGCTAGTCTGAGAAACTGAGGCCAGAGGGCTTAGGGCCAGAGTCAGTATTTATTTAGCAGCACCTTCACATGTCAGGACGATTCCCTTTTCCTGCCCATTTAAGGATAGTTCTCTTCCCTAAGGTACAAGTTGGCAGGACCACCTCCCCCTACGTCTCCACCATCCCTGGCATGCATCCACTCCGGAACTGGGAGGGGCAGGGTGAGGAGAGGGTGCATCCAGTGGCCTGGAGCTCCACAATCGCTTCGCGCCTCCCGTCTCCTGGCCCAGGTGTCCCTGGGGGCTTCTGCAGAGCATTGCCCCAAATCCTGATCCAAGGACCAGCATGGGGAGATGGTCGCAGGCCAAATGCACTTTATACAGAGATTTTCTATTGCTGGGAAGGTGTGTTTCTCCCACAGTTTGTGAATATTCACGTGTTCCATAAATGTCTGATCCTGTCTGAGCAGAGCTGTGCTGTTGTCCGTTTTGCGGGAGGTCTGGGGACTGGGAGGCAGTGGGGCTTAGCGCGCGTGAAGCCTTAGGCCAGACCGTCTTGGTT